TATATACATGACATTTTCACCAGATGTCAGTAATAATACATGCAATCCACACATACAAAAAATTAAAACCATTGATGACCAGAAGTTTAGTCATGTGTAATAATGTAGAATTGCACAGGGAAAAAGTATTGAACATGTGAAGACAGAGATGTGCAAAAAGGCATGGAAAGCCAAGACATCAACCAAAATCTCTCAGTAATTAGAAAGCTATCCGCTGGTTTAGTCCCAAAATGATGGCCTGTAAAAAGGTGTCTCTGGTATCATACAACATCTCATGATGGGTAAAAGTGAAGAGTTTTCTAAAGGCCTTCGCAACCTTATTGATGATATTGGTTCCAGAAGGTTTTCTAAACCTCTGAATGTTCCACTGAGCACTGTTGGGGCCATAACCCAGGAGTGGAAAGAACACAATTTCATCATAAACCGACCCAAACTAGATGCTCCTCACAAGATTTCTGACAGAGGAGTGCAAAGAATGACCAGACAAACTGTTCAAGAGCCAAAGAACACTTGTGGAGAGCTTCACAAAGACCTGGAATTAGCAGGTCCAATTGTTTCAAAGAACACAACAAGTGGGTGAGTGGCAGCCTAATGGTTAGGGTATTGTGCTTGAAATTAAGAGGTTCTGCTCCCCAAGCGCCACACAATGACAGCCCACTGCTCCCCAAGGGGATGGGTTGAATGCAGATAGTCAATTTCATTGCTCTGTACTTGTGACAGAGCAATGAAAAAAAAAGCTGGAAAAAAAGTAATGCACTCAACCGCCATGGCCTGTGTGCACACTCCCCACACAAGACTCCATTGCTGAAGAAAAAGCATATTGAAGCTCATTAAAAGTTTGCTGCACAACATTTAGACAAGCTTGGGAGAAACTGAGAGAATACAGTCTGGTCAGATGAGACCAAAATTGAACTCTTTGTATGTCGTAATACACAACATGTTTAGAAGTCAAATGGTGCTGCACATCACCCCAAAAACACCAACAGTGAAGTTTTTGCGGTGGGAACATCATGGCATGGGGCTGTTTTTCTGCGTTTGGTAGTGGCAAACTTCAAAAATTAAAGAAAGGATTGATGGAACAATTCTGGGTATCTATGGTTTAATTTCTTTGTATGTGTGGATTGCATCGATTGTTACTGACATCTGGTGAAAATGTCAACAGCACATCTAGAAATACATTAACTGAGAAAGATGGTTGAATACTTATTTTACCTGCTGTACTTTGTAAAAATGTTTAAATAATGTTAAAGTCACCTTCATTTGAACTTAAATAAAGACCATATATGCATATTACACTAAAATAAGCAGTTGTCAGTTACATTTGGAGAAAAGCAACCCTGCATACTTACCTTGCACTTTGCATTGTCCGCTTTGTATGGATCTATACCAATAACGCGTATCTTTAAATCCTTTAAATAACACATCAATAAACATGTCTCTGTAACGCACTCCATTACTTAACAAAACCATAGCCCATATAAAAAATTTTGTTTTATAAATGAATAATGATGCCGCTCATAATACTGTTGCTATAGTGTCATCTGTTGGTATCTACCGACATGGAGCATTTCTAAATCACTCACTTCAATTTTCAATCAAGTGGGAATTAGACTATTTAAAGGGATATTTCCTGATATTATCCATGTGCATAAAAAAAATACATTTACAGGAATGGGCCAGGTAAATCCACAAAATGGTAATCTTAATCAGCTGCAACTATTTATATGCTATTAAAACAATAATAATTACTCTAAGTGCAGCTTTTTAAATATGATTTGCTTTTTAATGAATCCCATAACTTGGACTGATAGTGGGAATGGTAACATATTCTTGACAGACACTTAGCTAATTGATAAAATGCCTATGAGAGTAATCAATAAGGACAGGGATCAGCAGTGACAGCTGTAAATGGGTTTGATCACTGCAGGCTTTTACTGACAAGCACTGTTGCCCGCTCCCTGACCCCGAGAACCAATGTGGGTGCTGTTACTGTCATTTCTCAAAACCGTAGCCAATGTCTTGCTAATTCATCAAAAGCTCTGAGAGGATCCGCAAAATGAGATTAAAGAGGCAGAGTCAGGATGGGAGCTTCTAAGTAGAAGTGAAAAAGAAAAAAAAATCTGTGTTTATATCACCATCCAGTGACGTTTGTGGATGGCTAAGTGGATACAAGTATTAAAAGCCCTCTCTAGCCATCCAGCCTGGGATCTAAAAATAAAACTGATGAACATCTGTGAAGTGCTCCTGCACGACAAGCAGGGAGCATCAATCAACTGACGCCAAAGCTCCGGAGGTGCAGAAATCAATCACTTGTTCTTTGTCACGCACATGTAAACAGTTTTCTCCAAAAAAAAACAAACTCAAAAGAAAAGGTCAGAGCAGCATAGGTCGTCATATCGACTGTATTTAAAGCTCATCAGTCCACCAATAAACAGCTGACAACAAAATAAACTGCAAATCCATGTGCATTTAACCGAAAACAGTTAGTAATTCTATAATCAACACAGATAAACCCAGATAAAGAAGAGTCTAAGTTAAGATTAATCCTAGTGGTACAGATTAAATGCAAATAAAGGAACCAATTAATTCTGTGATGTGCTAATTCAACATCAACTACATCGTAAAATAGGACGAAAGAAGCAAAACTTTATCAGCTTAGAATAAAAACCCTTAAAGTTTGTAGACCTTCCAGTTTTGATACAAAGAGATTCCAGCAGGATTTTTTAAAAAACAAAACAAACAAATTCTTAATTCTGCTCTCAGTGAAGTTCCTCTAAATATCTACCATGAGCCAAAGCTTTGATAAGTGTGCCAGCTCAATGCAGGCTTCAGCTCATTTTCCTAACAGCATTACAACCTGTAGTATAAACAAGAACAACCATCATGCACATATGGCACTCCAATCCTGCCCTAAGGAAGAGAGGGCACATTAACATTTACACAACTGGGCATCTATCTAGCAAAGGCCGATATCAAATCATCAGTGGACTAAATATGGCTCATAACTGGATTAAAATCAATCTTTAGATCCATGATTTAATGATCTAAGATGAAGTTCTCCAGTGCATTACAAAAGAAGGCTTCTACCAGTGTAGGCTAGTCCAGTGCATGAGATAAATTTATAGATGTGACCCACTTATTGGTCCCATTTGTCTTTTTCAATAACAGATCACTGAAAAAGGAGAAATCTGTTAAGATTTGATAGAAAATATGCTGTAAAACTTCTATAGTTTGTCATCAATGTCTCTGTAAGGTCCTGAAATGTGTAGCATGATAAAGTTTCTCAAATCCTATTGTGGCACAGAAACTGCAGCATTCAGAGAGCTTTAAAGGGACACTCCAGGGATTTCCTTTTTTTTTTAAGTTAGGCTCAGTTAAAAGATTGTAAACATTTAATTTCTTACCTGTAATAAAAGAAGAAAAAAAATATCTGGGTCTTGATTTAGTACAAATACAGATTACAGGTTGATCCAGATGCTGGAGAGGCCAAGACCAAACAGGACTTCTACCAACAACTCCTAATCTGTCTAATATGCAAACGCCACTTTATGAACCTTTAAGCCGTCCTTCCTTTCTAATTAGACAGTAATTGTGGCCTTTATATTTTATAACTATATGTGCTCCCCAAAAAAACTCAGTGTTTACATATCTGCATTTTTGTGCAGTCTAGCAAATAGTCTGTAGCTGTTTTTATGTGTAGGTCAAATTTTATGCTTTTCACATTTTTCTAAATAACCCCATATACCTCTTTCATTTTTTTTATTATGCTACTACTTATAGCTATAAATAGTTTGTTTTTTTTAATATTCCTTCAATGCGTTGAACCCAGCAGTTTTTTTTACCCTTGAAATGAATATGGAGGCAGTGCATGAGCAGTGATCTTCCGGTTTGAAACAAATACTGAAACACAAAGCATTCCTAATGAGAAAACAAGCTATGCCGAGGAAAAATTAAGTAATAAACCTCTCATTTAAATTGTTAAATACACTTGAATGTCAGTAGCAGGAAGCCACTCTGGAAGTGTTTACAAAAAGCATGCTGCTATTTTTAAGTCTGCAGCTGCAAGGATTCATTTATACTTATTTTTGTGTGTATTTTTCCCTTTCAATAAATGAAATAGAAAAACCTTTTTATCCGGGAAATAAAGGTTTGATTTATCTAAAGGCGGGAGCCTATTTTTAGGTTACTGCAATGACATGCTAAACATTTACAAAAAGATGAGACGTGAGTAAATGCTGACAAAATAAGGTGTTCATTATGAAAGTGCTAAAAATATTTGGATGAGAAAAGTTGCACTGTATATTCCGGCCCTTAGAACACACAGAATTCGTTTGACTGCGTTACAGTAATAAAGTAAAGTACAGTAACAAACGAGAGGTCCTGGAAAAAGAAGCTATTTCAGTGTTTATTTTCTATTGCAATGAATAGATAATAGAATAGAATAGCTCTAGTTTAACATTTCATAATAAAAAAATAGAACTGACTAATTTTCTGTTCTGGGTCATATTTTTTACTCAAAAGGTATAATTGAGAATCTTTGCAAATTTTTAAAAAGACCCGCCTTCTCAACATGCACAACTCCGTACCCGCTCCAGAGAGGGAACGCCTATTAAACGGGTGCGAGAGCAAGGACAAGCCTATTTCTCCTTGTGCAAGCTCTGCTTAAAAGTTGCATCGCTCATATAAGCTTACATTCCAAGAGATTTCCACTCTGTCAGACTGACCACCGGTAAGTGAAAATGGGGTCAAGCCTGTAGATTGACAATTAAGAGGACCACTTATTTTGATGACCCACCCAGAAAAAGAACATCCTCCACTATATCTTTAACAGTAAAACCCAAATTCTTTGGGGTCTGAAATGTTTCTCTACACTTTACCCTCCATATATAATCTTGAAAGGATTTTAAAGAAAGTTTAATCTTCAAATCTAAATATATATAAACTACATTTACTTTTTCCATTCTAAATAATTGTTTCACACAGGAAGATCATTGGTGTTGCACCACCTCCAACCAATTTTCCTTGTGGGAATAATTGTTTTTTTTTTGTAATAACTGACAGTGTTTTGCAAGTTTATGAATAGTGTACCAATAAAATGCTATCTAAGGCTATTATATTTTTAAGGCCCTCTTTGGTCTTGTCCTAATTCCCCTATTTAAAAGATAAAAATGTGATAAAAATTCTTCTCTATTTTACTGACAATGTAGATGAGGACATGTTAAATTAAATGATCTATGTTCATTGTAAGATAACCAAATCCAGTTTTTAAAAGTCTTAAATGTGTAGCGTTTAAATAAAAGTTGATCTACTTCTTTTTCAGCATGCCAATAAAAGCTGTGAAATAGCCCTTTACCACAGTGTTAGTCAGAAGCCAACTTTGGCATTTTAACAACCTCATGAACAGAGATAATATAAACCATCTACATTAATGTGTTGCACAAAAATGTACAAAATGGTATAGAAATGCCAAAGATATTTACAGATTTGAATCTTGAAAAATATAATGCACCACTCAGTTATTTACTGTTGGTAAGATAATAACATCTATTGACCTTTTGACATAGACCCAATTTAAAAAAAAAAAATCCTGAACTATCCCTTTAATCTCTCCTGTTTCGTCTATCCATACATTATAATGAGTCCAAGGCAGAGAAGTCCTTCCACCGACTGTCAGTCATCTGGTGAGCACACCAGGTGGAGCTGGTCTGGACTTCCCACGCTGCCTGTGCTGGAGCTCCCGTCCCCCAAGTCCCGGGCCACCATGCATGGCAGATTGAGCTCCGTGGACCCGCCGGGGCTGGAGTCACTCCTGCTCACACACTCCTCCTCCAGCACCAGGCACAGCTCCTTCAGATCCAGGTTCTCCTTCACCAGCCCGTCCTGCATGCGCTCCAGGTCAGCCAGCTTCTTCAGGTAGCCACCCAGGTCCTCCCGCATCACCTTGGCGGCATGGTGACCAAAAAGCTGCCACTCCCGGGCCAGCTTCTTCACCTTGAGCCTGTCGTCGTCCAGGAAGCAGCACAGGTCCCGCAACTCGGTGTTCTCCTCCTGCAGGCGCTGGTTGATGACTTTTAGTTCCCTGATTTCCAGGAGGTGCCCCTGCAGCTGCTTGTTGACCTCCTTGATGAGCCTGCCTCGCTGGATCAGAGCAGAGATCTTCTCTGACTCCTCCTTACGCAACCGGCTCACCAGCTCCTCTTTGGAGCAGGCCAGCAAATCCTCATCAGATACCTTTGACAGCTCTCTACTTATGATCTCACCCTCACTGCCCATTTTGTACAAGAAAACCCAAAGACTCCCTGAGAAACTGCTAAAATGCTGCTTTATCTGATGCTCAAATGACAGTTATCACATCCTCATCATCTTCCTCTGCAGCCACTCTGAGCCAGATGTCACCATGCAATCACTGGAGGAGGAAACAGAGGCAGACATGTGATGTCTTTATATAGATTGCCCCCTTCAAGGCAAAGTGACATCAGTTGTGTTAAAATACGCCCTTAATGAGGCCGGGTAAGAGGATGCACCGCAAGCACCTATTAATGTCAGTTCATCATCTCCACAGCAGCAGGACGTGTTTTCCAAAGGCCCCTGGGAGAACAACAGTCCTTGTCGTCCAAGAAGACAGCGGTTCCTCTGGAAGTGTTAACCTCAGAGCACACAAAGACAATCACTGAGGTTTATCCCGGCGGATGCAAAAAAACAAAAAACAAACAAAAAAAAACCTTAGCAGATGTCGTGGGGTTTTCACGTCCGTGGCATCGTGTCGGCAGGCTGCGTGTTCTCCGCTGCGCTTCGGTTGAATGAGGACAGATATCCGTTGCCTTGTTTATGGCGCCGCCGCCTTTTCTACCTGAGGATGTGCATTTAAATGACGTTAAATAGAAAAAAATAAAATAAAGGAGGTAAAAGGCAGTCCGTTCTCACCCGTTATCTGCTCATTACAGGCGCTTGAGCCTCCGGAGCTGGGCTGTTGCCACAACAATGTCTGCCCTGCTCCGTTTAATGACTGCTGAGCGGCGAGCAGCGCGTGAATTCACAGCGCGACCGGATATACACTGGGCAGGCCTACAAAATAAAAGCCTGGTGGAAAAACGCACTGAATACAAACGTATCTTTGGACGACAAAGTCACTGAAAAAGAAAAAAAACCTGACTTTACTTTTTACATTGAATGATTAAAAGGAATTGTAAATTTTTGCAATTTAAATTTAAATTTAGAAATGTATTTTCAAATCCCATTTTAAATATCCATTTAAAAGTTCATACATCTGGTATAAATTCTTTCCATATCACACATTAAAAAAAATAATTTCCCTGTTTCATTTTCTTTTTTCACCTTGCCTTTTCAAATCCTTTTTGCAGTTGCAATTTTCTTTTTTGTCCTCTCCATTTACATTTTACATGGCCCTTCTGGTTCCTGAGCACAATGAAAACAAATTAAACCAGGGGCTGCTCAAGTCCAGACCTCAAGAGCTACTCCCCTGCAACTTCTTGAAGCACCCCATTTTTAACACGCCTAAATCAAATGAGTGGCTCATTACCATGCCTCTTCTGGGCTAAATGAAAGGATTGAGCCTTTCCATTCAGGTGTGTTGAGTGAGAGAGAGAAGAGATGCATATAAAAGTTACAGGATGGTAGCTCTTAAAGGACTGGACTTGAGCACCCCTGAGTTAAACCAATCACAGTTGTTACTCAGATGCAACCATCTCCCTCATTGGTCATTTTGTGAATCAGGTGTGCCAGTCCCCCATAAATATCAATCTCCTATCTGAAATAAACACTAAAGAGATGCGAATAGACTTAATGTTAAGAACATTTAGTCAATTTTCTACTTCTAATTAAAGCTTTAGCAGTAGACGTTAAAGCCCACAACACAATGTTACCCTTTTGTTCAAGACAAGTCCTTATTGTTCTTGTATAAATACATTTGTTTCAGACATATAGCTTAGAATTCCCTTATGGCTAATAAGCAGAGGCAAGAGTAAAGCCCTAAAAAATTAAATAAATAAAAGTATTCCTTTCAGAGTTTAATGTTATGTGTGCCTGAGCAGCTGTTTGTCCGACATCTCTGTGTTTTTCTCTTATTGTTCCATATTTTATTTCTTTCTGAAGGAAGTGGATTTTTATGATGATGTTTAACTTGACAGATATTGCTAATCTGAAATGATTGAGGTTTCATTTAATCTTTCCAGTGGGTATTTGAAACGCCACAATTATGCATCAGTACTGCATGTGGTATAGCTTTTTTAAACAGGTTATCTTTCTGATGGAAAATGTCTAAATTTTAAAGTTTAAAAATTATAAATTCTGAGAGATTTATGCTGCATATTCATTTTATTAGACCCCACCGACATGGAAAAGCTTGGCTTACAATAAAAATAAATAGGAAAGATCTGTGTGTGACATTGCTTCCTCCAGATGTATCTATTTACAAGAACTATCTCACCCTTTAAAATGTAAACTGTCTCTAGTGTGTCCTACAGCGGAAAATGACCCGAAAAGCACAGCACATTCTAGCTATCAGGAGAAACTACTCGTTCTTTTCAAAGAACAGTGTTGGAAAGTTTGACTGGAGGCGGTATTTTTCTTTTCTTTTTCCCATCGGTTTATGCTGAGGCATTCGGCCACATCCTTCCGCCCTCTGTCCCACCTCCATTGTTTCACTGAGGCCATAACAATGTAGGGTGTTAACCGAGCTGAGGGGAATCTGGGGATGGAATCAGGGTGTCATGGGAGGTTAGAAACGAGAGTGTTGATGTGCAGCGAGAGATCTGACAACAACACATACTTCTTTGGGGGGGGGGTTATTTTTCTCCCACATGTTGTCATTTTAAAGGACACATGCAGAAACACAGAAAAGGGAGGGTGAGGACATGGATTTACAGGGATTTTTGGGGATTAATCTCTGCAGGAAAAGAGAGCGGATTGTGTACATGCAGCCGGCAAGCAAAGTGCATCCTGTTCTAGGGCCCTGTGTGTGCAGAAACCTATCTCTGAGTTGACACTTTCCCTAATAGCTTAAGGCTCAACCTGAAAGATACAGGTCAACAGAAGGGTATGTTGCTGCCAGTTGTCTTATGTAATCTTAGCCATCATGCACTGTTTTTATTCATTTTAGGTTTCAGTCTAAACATTGAAGACTTTCTCAGCAATATGAACTGTTTTGTGTTGGAGAGAGAAGAGTCACATGAAAATGAACTTATTCCAAGTGTGATGTTTCTTATTAATGAACTCATGCAAAGCAACTTTCATTTCAGTTCTTTTTGTTTGTTTATTTTTTTTTCTTTTGGAAGTGTAACAAATAAATGATGCCCTTGTGAATTGTTTTTTATAGAGTGCAGCCGGTGTGATGAGCAAACAATGAACTTGCAATGTGAATGCTGTTCAGGCACATTTTTATATCTTCTAGACAGCAAACCTGGAAGAGTCAATTCAACTCCAAGAGAGTTATATGCAACATTTTTAAAGTGTCTCTGTTGGTCCTCACTAGATCGAGTTAAAATATCCCTCAGTCTTAATAGTTTAAATTCAACATTTATCAGGGCTATATTTAATTAAACTGGTGCATAGTCTCAAAAGATTAACAACACACACTAATGTTTCTGGATTTATGCAAATATAGCTGAGTATCATCACTGTAACATAATCAATCCCATGATGATATATTGTAGCCACAGCTGCACTGGGGCACACAGACAGAAGCACGGTTGCTATACACATAAACACTTCACCAATGCTGATTAAATCCCAGCAATAGCGCCGGGATTCTAACTTGGGACCCTTAAGCCAGAAGAGAACATTTTGTGGCCTATGCCTTATATAAATATGAAATACTTACAGTTTTTCTTAATCACGTTGAGGAATTGCTAAAAAAAATATATATATATATATATATATATAAATTTGAACAAAACCTAGTGGCAGTTCAATGTTAATTTCATTCAATAGCCTATGCTTTTGGAATGAAGCAATTGAGTAAATACAAAATATCTGCAGAACTACCACTTTTGACTCGCTTTTGAGAACTTGCTTCTAGAGTGTCTGTAAAAATTAACTATACTTGTAATGCAGAATTGTCATTTTTCATACAACTAATAATTAATTTGATTGCTTGCATAATTGCACACAACATTGTTGAGCATGTTTTCAAATGTTCTGTACATCCACCTTAAAATAGCTGTAATGTTTTTCCTTGAAAATGTCCATAAATAACTTTTCTTAGGTAAACCTGGTTATATACTGAGGTATTCATTAGGAAACAGGATCGGCATAAGGTGCAGCTGTATCTACAAAACGGAAATACATGGAAGACAGCCTCATGGAAGAGGGGTGAGGATACATGGAAGACGGGGACAAAACTGGGGGAAGAAGAGGAAGAAGGGGCGGACCACATAGACGGATTCCAGATGAAATCAGGGAAACACTATATTGCTATGCACTATCAGAGGCTTGCACTGGGACATCACCTTTTAATATCTATATACAGCACATATTTAGTGTGGGATAGTGTTATGCAGTGAAAAAGTAAAGAACATTTTGCAAGTTTTTTTTCTGTGCCTTTAAAATGATTGCAAGATATCCTAGAAGAGGTGGAAGAGGCCCCCATTTAGACTCAGCAGAAAAATATGCAATGGTGGATGCAAACAATGCTATCAGACAGCAAGAAATAGAAAGAAATGTTCTGGAAAATGGAGAACAGTTGAAGTATTATTTAAGCTTTAAAGATGTTAATCAGCTGCTCAACAGCATAAAAAAACAACTAACCAACGAACATGTTATGGTTGTTATGGTTACGAATCAGAAATGTCCAGAAAGGAAAAGAAATACCAGCAAAAATCCTTTCAGTTATATAGCATCCGACATCAAAGGGGGGAAAAATGGAAAAAAGGAACTCCGATCCACAAACTGAGGAAACAAAGCTCTCACAAGAAGAACACCAGAATAAAGCCTGCAGAGCTACTCCAACATGCAGCCATCTCAAGAGGCGCAATTCCAAAAAAAGAAAGAGTTAAGGTCTCTCTTGCAGCTTACATTATCTCCTCAAGCTATGAGTTCCCATCTAGTTTGAATAGAATTGTAGAATAGAATAGAATAGAATTAGAATACAACAATAGAATTGTATTGTCCTTGCACAAGTCAAACCACCAGAATTGGTCACATCTAAATATGACAAACAACAGGAAAAACAAGATGTTTGAAGCCCTTAAACATCTCACGAGTGAAATGATAGGGTTGGTTAACTTCAATTCATCTTTCCCCCATTATCCATCAGAGTCTGTTTGGCACTGGTGTCTATCTCCAGCAGTCAATGAAGGAAAGGTGAGGTACACCCTGCCACAAACAACTACACCTAAGGACAATTTAGAGATGCCAATTAGCCTAACAACCTACAAACTCCATGCAGAAAGACCCCAGGCCTAGAATCAAACCCAGGAATTTTGTGTTTGGCAAAAGTGCTAAAATCTGCATCACCATGCAGCTGGTTAAAGTTGGTTAACTTTTCTCTGGACTAAATGGCAACAAGGGGACTCTCGCTAAATATTTTTCAGTTGGAGGAGATAACCCTAGCAATTAGATTGCCCTCAACTCTTCCTAAAGACACAAAACTTGCTTTTATTCATATCTGATGTTTGATGAGAAATCATAGTTCAAATTTGTTTGGATGTAGTAAAGATATTTTTTCTCAGGTAAAAAAGAACTAAGACATCCACCTGTTCTGAGAATGTGAATATTTCTTAATAAACAATGGGGAGTCATCACAACATAACAAGCAAGATTTATAATGGGCAGTCAGCAGTGATGTTAGTTCTATCCTATTTGAAGGCACAAATACCGCGAGAGTTCAGCTAGCAGAAAAGTATGTTTTTTCTCACGATGTTGGTCCCTTACCTTCATCTGGTAGTTATAGCAGTTTGAGTATTTATACTAAAGAGTATTTATAATTTAAATGAGTTTTAATCGTCTTTACCGTATAATCTTATATCATGATTTTTTTATTTGCTAGCACAGGCAAAACGCTTCATTATCAGCGCGGCTTTAATTTCACCATGGCAACCATAGCCACTGTGTGGATCTCCTGTTTCCAGCCACTGTACAGTTTTTACAAAAATAAAATGTTAATCTAAACGTGCTTAAAAAAACCTAACTACTTTCCTTACTTCACTTCTTGTGTTGTTTTTATTCCATATTTTAAAAGATTTAACGCCGACCTTTAGCGTGACGTCACATATCCGGAAGTGTGTGCTGCTGTGTGGGTGACTGCGGTTGTTGACACTGCTCACCTACAGAGATGGCTCCTCTTGCCGTCTAACATTTATTCTTGCTTTAATGGCAAAAAGATAACCTTAAATTGTGTATTTGTAACCGTGTCGCCATGCTAAACCAGTCCTAATACACCGTTTGGTCATAGGGTGATCCGTTTGCTGTCGCTAACGGCTGCGCACGTTGCTAATAGAGAAGCTAACCTTGAAGGAATTTAGCAAATGAGTACAATTGGTTGATTCCTACTTGCAGTATGAAGGTTTCCCACTGAAGACGCGCATTGAATAAAAACTAAGCTGATCAAGAAGGTGTGGATATCGCCGAAATCAAGGTATGACATAATTTTAGGTCTTTTGAACCCAGCCGGGAGACAGTTTCTTGTCTTAAAGTGAAATTGTTTTTCTTTCTGCAGATGTCCGTAGAGTTAGATGTGTTTGTAGGTAACACCACCATCATGGATGAGGAGGTTTACCAGCTTTGGCTGGATGGATACACAGGTACGAACAGACTGCTAAATAGAACAATCCAAAACATGGTTGGGGAAATGACTCTAATGCATCAGTGAAAAGAGCAGCATTTGTTTTTATTAACAAATACTAAATGTAAAGATCATCTGTCTCTTAGAAACAGTAATGCTAAAAACTACAGAAAGCTATATATAGGCCATGTTTTAATCACATTTAAACACTTCACAGAAACTCTACTAAAAAGTATAGTTGGCTTCAGTAATTACTCCTTAATTATATAAATATTGAGCACTAATGCAGCCTGTTAATGTATAGCAATTGCTTTTTAAGAAAAATAATTTTTGCATCTTTTTAAATAATTTTTTAAAGATAAATATAACAAACACCATATTTTTTTCTTTTAGATTTTTCATTATCTGTGATCTTCATAGTAAAAAAAAAAGCTTTCACACCACACATCATAAAATTCCAATTTGCTAGAAATGTCATTTTAAAGACCTTCACCAGAAAGACAGATCCATTTTATTTATAGAAATATATACTTAATCAGTTTTATACACATATTATACAGATTTTAATTTATTATTTATATTTTTTTAGGAAAGAGTTATAGAACCATGCAGTAAGATTCAGTTGATTATTTAATTAAGCAAAACAATAATAATAAAAAAAATGTAGTTGAAACCACATGTTTTTAAGGCTGATCTTCATACTTATGTTAACATGAGCCTAGCTGATCTCCGATATGTGCTGCTGATATTTTTGATGATTTTGACATGACAAAATAAAAGCAAATGTTACAGTCTTAATTTAAGCACATAAATAAATAAATAAATAAATAAATAAATAAATAAATAAATAAATAAATAAAAGATTAACAAAGAATAGCATCTGCTTCTCTTGATCTCAAGGCATGGCTTTTGAATGCACCAAATCGGCCAACCAGGGCTGCAACTAACCATTATTTTGCATATCAACTAATCTGTCAATTAGTTTTTTGACAAATATAATAAAATAGCAAAAGGTTCATTAAAGAAGACTTTTTAAGAAATAAAACCTAGTAAAACTAAAAAATATCCACTTGAGGACTTCTGGATAGAGAATATTGATGGACGAAAATGATTTGTTTCATATCAAAATTTTTTTACAATCTTGGTATAATTACTGATCTGAGGGGGTCAGTCTTTCAGCTGAAGGCATGTTTTAGAGTCTCTATACTCCAGTTATCGATTATTCGATCACTAAATTAGTTGACAATTATTTCAATAATCTATTAATCTGATTAATTGTTTCAGCCCTACGGCCAACGCTTGCGCATGTCGGCCTATATAAGAAAAAAGGGTTAATAGTGGCCAAATATATCAGTTAGATGATGTACCGATCAATATGAATTTATAAGCTTCAGATGTACTCATTAAATCATAAGAGTTCATTTGAGGCACATCTATAAATGTATCTTAAGGCAAAACCACAAATAAAATCTCTGGCTCGTGGGAATGTCCAGAAACAGACATCATTGTGCTCTGGAAAGACACAAGGTATTTGTCACCAAGAGGAACTTAGTTAGTGTAAAATATTAGTTTGGACCCAGAAACAAAACATCCAAAGTGAGCCAAGTCCTGTGCAAACACGAGCTGAAAGGTCACTCAGAGGAGGAAGAAGCCATTGTTTAAAAAAAAAAAAAAAAAAAACAGATTACAGTTGAGACATATCCTCTGATCTGATGAAACTATAACAGATGTGTTTTAGACCCCATGACTGTCATTAGATATGGAGAAAGATGATTTTGCAAGCCTGAGAACACAACACCAGCTGTGAAGTAGTGGGGGACACACATCACTTTGTCTGGTTAACAAACTAAAGGAGAGACAAAATCAACTTTTTCAAGCCTCTGGATATGTTATTTATACGACTACGTAGTGAAATGGGCGGCATCCAGACGGGAGTGGCAGCTTCGCTTTGAAGGCAGATGTTCTTTTTCGGGGGTTGGAAGAAAACAATGGTGTTTTATACCAAATTAATACCCACATAGTTCTAAAGGCATTATGTCAAGTTGTATGTGCCTATAGGTGACTCTGAAAGGCTTTAAAAAATGCATGGGCCAGGACATTTAAAGGCAGTTCCTTGAGCGTTGGGTTTGCCACACCATGTGCAAAGGCTTTGGTCCTCCTCTGCTATCCAGGGAGAGTGGTGGCCTATTGATTAGGGCATAGAGCTTGGAATCCTGAGGTTCTGACTTTGAGCTCCACTCCCACAGACTGCCACTCTGGGTCCCTGAGCAAAGACCCTTAACCCCACACTGCTCCCCGCGCGCCGCACAATGGTAGCCCACTGCTCCTGAAGGGGATGGGTTAAATTCAGAGAGTTCATTTAGCTGCTCTGTATTTGTGACAGTGTAATGACAATAAAAGCTGGGGGAAAAAAATCCTCAGCTGTTTATTAATCACACCTGTAACCTTTTTTCCCCTTCCTCTTGTCTGTCAATAAAGCCAAAACAGTCTAAAAAAAAGTCTAACAAATAATGAGATATTTTGAATTAATGTTTTAAAAACTCTTGCATATAATTCTGACTGTAGCATTTAGAAATTGATTCAATGTATAACTTAGTGTGTATGTAAACAGGTTTTAACTGTACATCTGAGTTCTGTCCTAATTCTATTACAGTATGATCAGATTACCTACATTACCTAAATTATTTTTTGAGTTGATGACTTTGCAGTTATCCCTCTTTCTAAGCAGGTTTTTGTAGACTGTGGAAAGGAACAACTTCATTTTAACAGAAATCAACCTGCAGAAAACAAAGTAAAAAAAACACTGAGCAAACACAAGTATAAACTTAGAGGACTAAAACAGAAAGTCGCTTCATATTCATCCTTATAATTAACACGTCACCAATGTAATGCCTTTTTTTTGTCCCTTCAGGACAAAAAAAAAAGTGGTCATAAAAGCCGGATGTTAATTTTCAGATAAACAAAGAGCTTTAAAGGAGTATTACTCAATTTCCAGGAACAAGCAATCTAAAAGATAAAGTATCTGTCACAAGTAAAAAGAAAAACAAAAAACACAAGGAATGTAATGTTTTTTCCTCCAAACCCTGCATGTTAGGATCAACATCGCTGCTTGTTATTTACAGCCTTGAGTGGATCAGGGGTTCAGTATACAATTACAAAAATGTCTTCTAGTAAACTTTAATGATTCCACATTACTAGTGACAAACTGTTGTGTAATTGTGACCCACTTTTAAGCCTTAATAGTTACATGATCTGCTTAATACTAACTGGATGACTGACCTTTTGTTGCAGGTGTACAGTTGTCAATCTGTGCAGATCTGGTTTTAAGTTTGGCTTGATTTGATCCTCAGACTGATCGATAATAAATTTGTATCAGAAAAGGACCCACTGCATTTTAACGAGGCTTGGACTTTATCCAACAGTGAACGATGCAGTAAAAGCACGTGTGGATGCAGGCGTGCTGGATGAGTGTGAGGCAACTGAAGATGTTCTCCTCAGCGACACCATGGATCAGTACAGGACTTTCCAGATGTGTGAACGTCTGCTTCAGAGTCCGGCCAAACTGGCAAACCAGCTGCTCTTCCAGATCACTCCTCACAGACAAGCTATGCTTATAGAGAGGTGATGCTGCTATTCACACTCATTTAGTTCCCAATTTAATTTATGTTTTATTTGAGAATTAAGCCTATGAACTTTTATCTGACCTTCTTTGTGTTCTTTAGATATTATGCCTTTGATGATCCGTTTGTACGTGAGGTTTTAGGAAAGAAACTCTCTAAAGGAACAAAGAAAGACTTGGATGATATCAGCGCCAAGACCGGCGTGACACTAAAAAGCTGCAGACGACAGGTAAACTCAGCCTAAAAGTGACTCAGTGACCAGTCTGTGCAGGTCGTTCTTTATGACTTTATTCTGGCTGTAAAACTCAGTGTTTTAAGGTAGAACAAAAATCTCATTCTACTCTCTCTTTTTTGTTTTGTGTAAAGTCATTTCAACATTTCAACAGAGCAGAATTTATTGGCTTTGGTTGGCTTGTTGCTCAAGTCACGCTGTTGTAATTAAGTAAGTGTCCTGCGTCATCTGCTGTATTTCAGTTTGACAACTTCAAGCGTGTTTTCAAAGTTGTTGAAGAGCTAAAGGGACCCCTGGTGGAGAACATTCGTCAGCATTTCCTTCTCTCTGACAAGCTTGCAAGGTATTAAGTGAGGAACAGCAGAGTGTTATCATATAGTTTGGTTTTATGTGACAGATCAACACATAGATTTTCCCTCTTGGATTGGCCTCATATTTATCTCCATCCACTCACAAAGTCAGATTTCACCATCTTTTTTTATGAGGGACATGGTGCCTTCAGAGTGTCGCCGATTGCTTGTACACCAAAAAGCAAACAATTTCCAGGGTCTGCTGCCTCTCCTACATGGCTGGTGGTCACTTTTAATGGTGCTTTTAATCAATCTCTATTAACTGTAGATTTCTTCCTGCTGTTCAATTCAGTTTGTTTATATAGCACCAATTTACAACACGTCATCTCAAGGCACTTTACAATTCAACCAGATCATACAGTCAAATTAAAGGTTTCTATCCAAGTAAAACCATTTGATTGCATCACTCATTGACTAGAAGCCAATCCCTCACACTAAGCACGCTTGTAGCGACAGTAGAGAGGAAAAACTCAGTTTTAACAGGAAAAAAACTCCAGCAGAACCAGGCTCAGTGTGAGTGGCCATCTGCCAAAGCGAACTGGGGTTCAAGGAAACAGAAGCAGAGATACAGTAAGAAGCAGAGATACAAAAGGCAACTGTTTTTTGTTGTTGTTGTTGTTGTTTTTTTGGGTTTATATGGCACTAGTGGCACATTTTTATGGACAGTAGGCTGACAGGAAAGGGGGTATGAGAGAGGGGGAGACACATGCAGGAAAGGACCAGACGTTGGATTTGAACCCGGGTCACCCGAGTCGAGGACAATCCGGATTAGAGATTGAACTAACAACTAACAAACTAACTAAAAAAAGTGGGAGAATAGAGATAGAATGAAGCAGAATGATGAAAAAGGGGTTCCTATGTCCTCCAGAAGTCTAAACCTATTGCAGCAGAACTATAGAGATAGCTTAGGAAAACCTGAACCACTCTACCTATAAGCTTTATCAAAAAAGGAAAGTTTTAAGCCTACCCTTAAAAGTAGACAGGGTGTCTGCCTCACAGACAAAACTGGTAGTTGGTTCCACAGGAGAGAAGTATGATAACTAAAAGATCTGCCTCCCATTCTACTTTTTGAAATTCTAGGAACCACTAGTAAACCTGCTGATTGAGAGCAAAGTGCTCTGTTAAGAACATAATGAACAATCAGATCTTTGATATAAGATGGAGCTTGGCCATTTAAGGCTTTATATGTGAGCTTCAATACTGTTTCAATTTTGTTAGATGAAAGATTGTTTGGGATATTGTTTCATATGTTAACATTAATTTAATCGCCTCCACAGCTTTAATTCTAAGCTGTGTGGTGTGTTATGAATTGAATATATAAATAAACTGAATTGAATTGTTCCTTTTTATTTTTGGCATGATGTTAGTTTTCAGAGGTGTTCTCTAACATTCTTTTACCCAGAGATATCAGAGTAATTATGGCTGATTAAAAATGCATTCTCACTTCTTGAACTTTTATTTTCTTAATTTTTGGAAACACTGTGTATCATTTTTCTTCCACTTTATAGTTATGAACTAGTTGTTTTAATTTTTTTTTTAATCTTAAAGTTTGTGGTGCTCATAACTAAAATGGGGAAATATTTTTTAGGTGTGAATATTGTTTTTTATTCCAACACTTAGGAAACTAGAGCTGTTCCTTTTTTTTTCAGGGATTATGCTGCCATTGTTTTCTTTGCCAACAACCGCTTTGAGACGGGGAAAAAAAAGCTGCAGTATCTCACCTTCCAGGACTTTGCTTTCTGTGCTGGGCAGCTTATCAACAACTGGACGGTTGGGGCCGTTGGTGAGGGATTTTGCTTGTTTCCTTTGGCTCCTTTACTCACCTTAAACCTAAACTCCACATACATCATGTTTAACTGTTGCATAGCTCGTTAATCAAATGTCACATCGTAATTCGTCAGGATTTAATGTTTATACAACTCTGAAATATTAACCCTGCATATCCAAGAAAAACTACCATGTGATATAAACATTTTAAATCGTGCAACTTAGTTTTAAGTTGAAAATAGATTTTGTTCTCAAAAAGAAGTGGCTTACCATGTGGGCTGGCTCCCTAAAATAACAGTTTAACTTGTGTTCTTTCAGTGAGATGCAGTGACCACCAGAGGTCCTTCAAGTTTTACTTGTCCCACTATGAGTTATTTCTAATTCTGAGTGTTTTCAATTAGGAGGAGCAGTTTGATAAAAGTTATAAGATCATAGATAATAGGATTTCCTATTAATTGATTCACTCAAATGCTCTTTGTAGACAACATGGTGGAAGACATGGACGTGGATCTCGATAAAGAGTTTTTACAGGAGCTGAAAGAGCTGAAAATTTTGATCACAGACAAAGATCTGCTGGATCAACACAAAAGGTAAAAGAAAACCCCACGTCAGTGTTCGCAGATGGCAGAGAAAATCTCTGGATTTCTCATAGAGGTTAAAGGGCACGCTTTTATTGAATTTCTTTCTTTTCTCTGCTCTCAGTCTGGTCTGCACAGCTCTTAGAGGAAAAACTAAAGCTTTGCCTGAGATGGAAGCTAATTTTAAAGTAAGAAACACCCCCTGGTTTAACATGTGATCTATCATTAACTTTTACAATGAGAGGAGATGAAGGGATTTCAGCATTGTCTCTCTTTTCATTACAGAATCTGTCCAGAGGTCTCGTCAACATTGCCACAAAGTTAACAAATACCAAAGATGTCCGAGATTTCTTCATTGATCTTGTTGAGAAGGTCAGTGTAAACTGATCTGCATCTTAGATCATCATCCTTAGAGATAGGCCGATACATTGACATACCGTTATTTTTGGCTTTTTAGCATTTTTTTTCTTGTATCGGTATCGGCCGGTACATGCATGCAAATGCAGATTCATTAGTGCATTCAGTAGCCAGGCCTTGACATCGTGTTAAGTCCATACCTGGCATTCCCTCACACTTGAAATTGAGACTCCATAATTTTTATTAAATCACTGTATCATTTTAATTAAGCAAATAGAGGAAGATTAAAGCAATATTGGCTTCAAGAGTCAGCCCAAAAATATCCCCAGCATATATCAGGGATCAGTTAGACCGATGTCAAAATAATAAATATTGGCATCGGCCTCAGAAAGCCTGTATCGGTCGATCTCTAATCATAGATCTTTCTGCCTGTAAGGCTGCATGACCTTCTACCTTCTTTTTCTTATCAAGTTTATCGAGCCGTGCCGTTCAGACCGATGGACATCTGCTGACTTAAAACTCTACCTCACCCATTACACCAACTCTGCACACATTCTGGACACGTTCAAGTGAGTTAATGTGGTTATATTAAAGAGTGTTTGGCATCAGAGTTTCCTCTTGATTCATGCTAAAAATTCAGCCAGGAAATGCAGTATTCGTCAGCTGAATGTTCTGCACAGGTAGTAATTCTTAAAGGTAACATCTCTGTTATGCCAAGGCTTACATGTAGTTTCTCAAACTGTAGTTGCCTTGTTTCTAATGTAAACTTTCAGGAATGTGATTTAGAGTTTACACAGCCCTGCACCGCTTCAAGCCTTAACAAAGAGATATTCATAAATAGAACCAAGGACCCCCTGGAATAACTCAGGGGACCCTGATTGCCTCATTTACACTCTTTGCACAGATTTCATGAATCCTGTTTGCCAGCTGTGATTGTGCATCATTTAGCCACTGATTGCTTGTTCTCTGCCCCTCAGACATCAGGCTGTATGGGACAGATACATGGGCGTGATCAAAAGCTGCATCTTCAAAATGTATCACGACTAAGGCGTTACCCTGGCAGCCTGCCCTCTCCTCTCTCCACTTTTTTTTCCTTTTGGTTCCCAATTTGTCTGCCTCATTACTAAAGCTGTTATTCTCTCTCTTTAGTTCTGCTTTCTCGTTTCATTTTGGCTTTTTTTCTTTCCTTGTTGCATTATCCCGTCTCCCAATGTTCAGTTTTTGTAAAGTTGGTTTATTAATAAAATGAAAGTTTTGCCACTGGAGTGTTGTTCTGTTTTATATTTAATTTTAACTCATCTTTGTGTTTTATTGCAGCTATAAATGGCTGGTTTTCCCATTGAACCCAGCACAGACATGGGATTTATAATTTTGTGGATTTTGGATGAAAAAAAATGCAGGCAAAGAAAAATACAAGGAAATAAATCACGATAAAGCAATGGCAACAGATTTTTTTTTTTTTTTTTTTTAAACCCAGCATTGAGAGCATCTATAAGCACTGTGCAAAACACAAAATAAATCTAAGTCTAAGTCTAGGCACTGCTCTAAGTTTAAACCATTGTTTTAATTTTTGGTAGGTGGGATAAAAACATCTCATTTAGGATGTCTGTGTGTGGCCATGGGGGGGCGTCCGGTTTGGTACAGTTAGTTTAGATTGGGTGCTGGGTTGGTGTTCTGTCTTTTAAAGAACATCCCTCGTAATGACAGCTGCCACGTTTGCACCCCCACACGCAAACAGCAAATAAAAGACCTGAAGCAATGAAAACCCATAACACTGGAGTTACATAAAGAAACAAGAAAAAAAGGTATACTTCATGAAGAAACATTGCAGTTAGCCTTAAATACTTAGATTTGAATAAATGTAGGTAACTTTAGCCCCTTTTAATTCAGCAAAGCTTCTGTTTTTTATTTATAATGAGCATGTATGGTCTTTTAGAAGTTTTTATCATCTTATTCCTTTCTCAGATAATGACAAATGTGAAGGAATATTATCAATAAGGGAACCTGCGAAGCAAAATTCTCTTATTCCCTATTTTTGTAATCTCATCTGGGTCATTACTGAAAACCCATCCTGCTAATTTTTTTAAGCAATATGTAGTTTGTTGGTGTCTGGAGGTTTCAAAAATCTCCTGACGTCATGATGTCACCTAGCAACTGTAGCCAAGCCAACAGGTCCCTTTACCTGGCAACCCGGACAAAAATAAAAATACATGCAAAAATATTACGTTACTTTACTGTTGAATCTTACACAGACGTAATTATTCAAATAAAATACACAACTAAACACTAACATTAATACATGCCACAAAATATGCATATAATTCACTTTCACTAAACTAGAGAAGACTGAGAGCTAGTTGTTAGCATGATGCTAATTTGCATAGAAATTGCATTGATGGTACAGATATTTGGGACTTATTTTCTTTAATATTCTTCTGACCTCAAATCTAAAATGACCCCTTGAAAGTCTCTCTTTTTCTATCTCCGACAAAAGCTTTCTTTGCCTTTTTTGCCAGCTAAGCTATTTCACAAACCCCCTAAAGTGTAAAAAAAAAAAAAATCTATAATCAACTGAGGGTTGTAAGGCCTGCGGCTACTACAGCCTATAGCTTTATATTAGGCTAAAGCTGTTTGTCTTACCGTTGGAATGAGAACAGAGCCATGATACCTCCTCTGGGTTGCTGGCACAGAAACTTGCAAGCATGGTTTTTCTGACTACAGCCAGTACCGTAGGTGAAGAAGAGAGACCATCAATCATCTAGCAAACACATAGTGACCTAATGGAGGATATGTTTAGGTAAAAATGTAAATGTTGCTTTAAATGTTATGTGTTAGACCAACATATATTAATGCATTAAGTAACAAAGAAATACATGTCCATCCTCCATACATGGTTTTGGGTAACAAAACAAACTGTGAAAAACATTCAGGGATTTGAATAGTTCTGTGACAACCTGCAGCTGAATTAGTTTTTATTTAGACAATTGATTATTAAAATAAATGTATTTATTAATTCGACAGCACTTACTGTTCTCACTGTTCAAACCTTGTTTTAAAGAATTTACTGGTCCTCGAAGACGTAGTTTTTAAGGCTAAAAGCTGAAATCCTAATTGCCAGTGGATTCCTGCAAACTGGCCTTTAAGCTAGACAGCATGGATGGGACAAGGGTTTTTCTTTTAGATATTGTTTTAAGTGTCTCCCCTGATCAATAAAATTATAAATAAAAAAGTATGGAGCACTTTGGAATTCATAAGCTGAAAAATGAGATCCACTGCAGATTTACAATCCAGCTAAGACATAACCATCTATTGTTGCTATACAAGCACACCCAATGGAAGGAAACAAGCACACCCAAAAGAAAGCTTTGACCTGGCAGTTCAAGAGTGACTTTCTGTTGGCTGGGACAGTGTCCAAGCGATGATACAACTTAGGGAGAGGAAAAAAGAATCCACCAGCAGGAAAGACATACTTAAGAGCAACATTTTGATGCCTTCACAAAGCAGGTTTAACGAAAGGAGAGCAAAAAAGCAAGAGAAAATATCTGCAACAAGCATTGCATCCCAGCATCAAAACCAAAAGCTGAAGGAGATCAGAGTGTATTTGAAAGGAAACGTGTTAACTACATGCACTGCAAGTTTAGATTCATGATAGACATCCATCCAATCTGGCTGCCAAAGAACAGCATTAGTCAGAGAAACTGTAAATAGACCTACTGTGGTTCAGGAGGAGTTCCAGAGATCAAGAGCTTAGGTCATAAAATCCGTTGACATGAACACTTTTACCTTTATACTTCACAAACCTGCCTTTTATTTAAACAGCTTCTGTTACAGATTTGCCACAAGGCACGTAGGAGACAACAGTGATCCTCCATCATAGGGGTGACTTTACACACAGCGGATTGATAGCATATGTTTTATGACCCAGTCAAAGTCTAGATCTAGATCAATTTAGAAATCTGCTGCGATACGTAAAAAAAAAATGTTTACAGATTCTCTCCTTCTACTATTTCAGTTTCTATGAAGTACTGACTCGGTGTACATGGCACACTTTTCATACTTTTGTATTTGCTAGAGAAAAAACTGGAAACGATGGTTTCCTTCCAGTTCACAGCTACACACCACTTTGTGTTGGTATTTCACATACAAATGTGTTACTCTTTTTGGTTTTATCTAAAAAAGGTTGAGGGATTTAAACAGTTCTGTGAAGATTTTGCAATTCAATTTGTTTTTATTCAGATAATCGATGGATCTCTTAAAAAATATCCTCCATTAAACAAGACTTTTGCCTTAAGAACACTTTTTCCTGTATACAGGACAAAACCTTCTGTTTTTTACCTCAAAGCTGACTCATAAGGACTACCTATGGTTAAGCAATATCCCGACTTGTTTGCATCACATAATAACACACATTTTGCAAGACACCAAGCTGATCCCCAAAGCAAAAATCCATTAGTCATGTACAAACAAGAAAGAAGCATGCTTATAGTTTCCTGTATTCCGTGTTTGGGATAATGAGAAATTTATACGCAAGTTGAAGCTTAAAGGTTTTCCTGAGTAGTTCTTTGGAAAGTCGCTCTCTTCCTTGCTCTGATTTTTGTCCACATTCCATTAACTTTTTTCTCCCCCTGCTATAAATATCCCTCATGTCAGATTGGAAGAGAGTAAGGGCTTAAAGTCGCTCTACAGTTGGGAAAAGGGAAAAAGATGAGGGTGGTGAGCATAGATAGATGGGGGGTAAGTGGGAGAAGGGTGGGGGAGCTTGGGGCTTTTGCGGGGGTTTGGTCTAAATGAAACCAGGTGTGTTGTGGGACCAGTAAGGGGTTAATGTGTGTGAATCTATGAGCTGTTGTGCCTGTGATTTGGACTGATTTGGAATTTTGGTATTTGGGCCGCAGACCAGGAATTTCCACCCTGGGGGGTCAGGCGGAGCGGTGGATGTTGGCAGCGCAGGGGGCCAGAGGGGGGGTAAGAATGGGCTGTCCTACTCCCGTCTCTTTCTCCCTCCCTCCCTCCTCCGCTCGTCTCCTCTCTCCCTCCCTTTGCATGTGTTCATCTGCTCCAGCTGTCGGTCTCCCCACTCACTCTTTCAGGGTCATACAGGCAGCAGTTTCAGGGATCACGTCTGAATGCCAACTCATCCGGGACGATCCGAACCAGCAGACAGACACACCGGTCAGAGGGAGGCTTAGGCAGGACCCATCGGAAACAATTCACCCGTGAGTTTTACTGACTTTCATTAATTCCTTACACACATAGAAGATAGATGTCATATCAAACCCTGAGCTGGTGGATGGTTTGGGAACTCCGCACGCTTCTTAGGAGGACATAAAGGATGTGAGATGTACCTTTTTCTCAGCTTTCTGGCACAGGCCTTACACGTCACAGTTGCACGACTGCCCCTCTGTCTGCTTCGCTCCCCCAGCTGCGCCTGGCTTCTCACTGAAGCCAAGATAACGTGGCTGTGTATTTAACTTCTTGGCTCAGGCCTTAGCAGGGGGTTAGACAGGAAGACAGACAGTGAGTCACATCACGGGGCATGTTTTACGGTGCTGTATATTGCAAAATCCTTCCATCTCATCCCAGAAACTCTTATAATCTCACCATAGATACTAGAAAAATGATGACAAAACTGTTGGGGAGAAATTTTACTTCTAGGAGTTAAACAGGTGCCGACACAGCTCTTAACTTTGACGATGGCTGACGGTTCCTTTAAAGTATGTTGCCATGAGTCTGGTGGGGTGATAGAGGTGGACCGTTTCTGTATATTTAGACAAACTGCTCGTTTATGAACAATCAAACTTTAGGAGTGACCAGCAGCTTTGAATCTCTGAAAGCTGGTATCAATTTTATTTCTGCCCACTCAGTTTTTTTAAAATGTAATCGGTCTTGTGTGTGAGGCTCAAACCTTCCCACATTTCTTTATGTTTCCTTCCCAGTAGCTAGACATTCCTGCGCACTTAATCAACTGTTATATCAGTAATTCTCCAAGCCCTCTAAAAGTTTTTCTTTGATCGTTTTTTTCCTGTCAAGTAACAATCTGTTTTTGGAGGAATTACAGACTCACAAGACTGAGCTTTAAATCATTCAGGCAAAGCATACCGTGGTATTCCCACATGAACACTAATATTTTAAACCAAAAGGTGTGACATTATCTTCTAACGGTGATTTTAAACATACTTAGGTAACTTATTATAACTGTTAGGTAACACCATGTAGGCTTGCTGTTATGTAAAGAAATGAGATTGTGATAAATTATTTTAAAAAATGTTTTCCTTTATTGTGAGATTTATCTTGCACATGCAATCTAAAAACAAATGGACATTTCCTTAGGTGTAAAAAATAAAACTAGTAAAACTAGTACTTTAATTAAGTTTGTCTTCATGCTCATGCATCATTTTTATTCTTAATTTCTGCAAATAATGACTTGGTATATTAGCCACTCCAGATCTTTTGAAGGCATCTTCTGTGCACGCCCATTTTTCAGATAACATTACAGATTTTGGAGTCTGATTCAGGTCTGGGTCATTTGGAAACTTGAACATTCCTCTGACAAAGTCATTACTTTCTTCTTTTCTTTTCGTGTACATTGTTATTATTCTGGTCAACTGAAGACTCCAGCAGTGCTTAAAGTACTGGGAAACATCTTTAATAGCTGACCCTTTGACCCTCTCCATGCACCTTGGGAGTGAGCGAAGTTGTGCCAGGAATTTTTGGATCTTAGTGCATTTTTCTGTAGAAATTGAAGGCTTGGTTTCATCTGATTATGACACATTTTCCCACATTCAGTCAGGAAGCTCAAAGTGGCTATTTTCAAAATTAAGCCAGGCTTTGTTCTTTTGAAATCATACTTAGGTCATGGTCATGTAACTTTTGGGACATAATTTCTAAGTGTGTTATAACTGTCATCAGTGTGTCACATGAGTTATAGAATGCCTAAAACCTTGTGATCAGATTCCTTTCAAGCATTTGAAACTCAGAGGATCGTGACATTGCTAGGAAATATGACTTTAAAAATGCCAGCTAACTCATGTTAGCACCGCCGCCGGAACATTGTTTGTGGAAACTTGATCACAGGTGGGATTCAACTCCTATTTAGCATAAGTTTGAAAGAGAAGGTTAATTCAGAGCAACGTCCCTGAACCTGAAGGCTGGTAGCACTAATGCAACTACATTATAGTATATTTTCCTGTTTCAGATGATTTTTTTTTAGTTGTGCAATTTCTTGTCACATTTAAGGTGGAAAATGTGAATTGTTCATTGTTTAATGCATTGTTTAACAAAGAAAGAAATTATATTTTACAGGGTTGTGTAGACATTTTTTTTTATGTCTGCTATATTCATAAAATACCTAAATCTGTTTAATTTTAAAGGCAGCTTGCTGGCTAACAGTGCACAGTAAGCCTTGATAGACCTTGATCAAATCCCAAACTAAAGATGAAACATGACATCTTAGCAATACATGTGTTTTTTAAATGGTTTTGGTAGAGCTTTTGTAACCACCAAAAGAGCGGTCAACTTGTCCTCTACTCAATTTTTGCTGGACTAATTCCTTTCTTTTCAAAGAAACAACTTTCACACAATGTTTATGTGCTGAATATAGTTTTCTATGACTGATCTTCATTTTTCCTCAGTCTAAAAGACATTTTAGATTACATTTATAAAGCTTTGAGGCATAGTGATGAAGTCTTGGTCCTGTGAAGGAAAGCAATTGTTTGTGGAGTTGTATTCATAGCTGAATATGGGCTCAGGCTGCTCCAAGCCACACCAGTCCAGCTGTCTGCACAACAACAAAGGCCTACCTTGCATTTTAATCTCTCACACTACTTCTTGATATGTGTGGGTTCTAGATGTGTTTCTAGTTGTCCATCTGGATATTTCTAAGGCTGCCCTGAGCTACCCTGGGCTGAAAATTAGTGACCCTCAAAGTTCAGAGATTATTTTAGTTTGTTAGTGTGATTAAAACAATTATTCATATAGGCAGCATTTAGCCTATATTTATGACTTAAAATAAAGTCTTTATTTAGCCTAGGAGGTTTTAATAGAGTTTCTCTTTTTGGCGTGGAGTCCGGATAATTATAGCAGGGTTACACTTTGCAATAAATTTGGTTAACTACAAGGGAACGTCTCCATGCACTAATGGGTCAAAAACCAGTACTTACTGGGGAAACCTCAGCTCTGCCTTATTAGGGTTTCTCAAAAGTAAAAAATCTCAATAAAAACATCAATCGCTTGGAAAGTTTTTTTTATAATTATGAGCTGTGGCCTCACTTGTCCAGGCTTTATTCTGAGGATTTCTCCTCTGTCTCTGAGGTAACAAACCGGTGATTCCCTAAAAATGTTGAGCTGTGCATTCTCCAGTAAGTACTAGTTACTACACATTCATTGCTGGTTAGAGGTTAGAGCAGTATGCTTGTGCTCTGAGAAGGTTGCAAGTACCCGGTTTGATCCCCACAGCCTGCACTCTGGGTCCCTGAGAAAGTCCCTTAAACCCACACTGCTCCCCGGGTGCCGCACAATGGCAGCCCACTGCTCCCCAAGGTGATGGGTCATATGCAGAGGTATATTTCCCCATTGTGGGACAATAAAGGGATTTACATTTGCAACAATAGTTAATTTCTCTTTGGTTTCCTTGGTAAGCACCCATTAGGTCCTGATTGGCTATCAAGGTGTTCTCTAGCAGTTTATCAAATCTTGTTTACCCTGTTGTTGTGTATTTCCAAGAATAAAATTGAACGCAAATTGATACCAAGCAAAAGAATTATCATAAAGGTCAGATGTTAGACATTATTCGAGAAAAATGTATAGCAAAAATGTGATTAAAAATAAAAAGATAGGCGTGCAGGTGGAGCAGTGGTTAGTGCACACGACCCATGTACAGAGGCCTTAGTCCTCGATGCTGCAGGCCCGGGTTCGAGTCTGCCCTGTGGTCCTTTGCTGCATGTCTCTCCCCCTCTATCATATCCCCTTTCCTGTCAGCCTACTGTTGAAAAAACGATCCACTAATAATGTAAAAACTCAAAAAAATAAAAAAAAAACACATTGAAGCATCTAAAAAGTTTCTGTTTTCACTCAGGAAACATTAAAGTCTGCTTATGAACCTGGGCCTGTGCCTAAAATATATTGATATGCCTGACAGTATGAATAACAACTAGATAGATTACCTAAGAAAACAGGAAATAATAAATAACATCTGTTTCCCCCTGTTTCTGTTTTATATAGAGATTTCTACATCATTAAGTCTGGGGAAACTGAATTATTTATATTGCAAGGTACACTGAGGTTTGTGTTTTTAATAGAGAGATAAAAGCATGCATATTATAAACATTATTTATCTTTTATTTTTAGATTGTAAAAAGTGTTATTTTCATCATTATTAATATTAAATACTCTTTAAAAAATGTTTGTTTGTTTTTTTGGGGGGGTAAAAGGTTTGTCCTTTCTCCAATCTAAATCCTAAAGTGCAAAATAAAACTTTTGCTTTTTATATGTAAAAAAACTCCATTTCTTACAGTATGTTGTGTCACATAGTTTTGAGGCTGACTGAGCAGCCATGGAGTCTGAACCCAAAACTGCATTAGGATGAAGCTTCTTGTTTTTTATTCTGTGGTCAACCAAAACCACCAACACAATCACAAACAATGAAGGACAAGCTGTTTATATACAAATGACACTAAATTGGATTAAACCATAATTCGGGTTGCTGCAAATCAAAACTGGAAAACACCACAACAATATTTACAAGGAATAAGTAGCAAATTAAGCAAATGCATTATTTACAATGTGAACACGAGGCTCTCCATTGTAAAAGCCAGGCCCAAATAAACTAACATTGTGTTGTTTCCTTACTTTGTTTTACATTTTTGTTTTCATTATAACCTAAAATGTATGCACCAGAGTCTTCTTCTTATAGTGCTCATAAAAAGTTACCATGTTAAAGTTTGATTTTAGATTTTGTGGTTCTTTATTAGATATATTTTGTATATCTGCTTTCGTCTCCTTAAAACCCAGTCAGACCCAGCAGATGGCCGCTCACACTGAGCCTGGTTCTGCTGGAGGTTTCTTCCTGTTAAAAGGGAGTTTTCCTCCCCACTGTCGCTACTAGCATGTTTTGTGTGAAGGATTGCCTTAGAGTCAATGAGTCGATGTAATCAACTGGTTTTCCTTAGATAGAAAATTTTGAATCAATTAGACTGTATGATCTGGTTAAATTGTAAAGTGCTTTCAGATGACGTATTGTGAATTGGCGCTATATAAATAAACTAAATTCAAAATTAAATTGAATATATTCAGAGAACCATGTGTAAGGCTAAGATAGGGTCTACTTGTGTTATTTAAAGAGAGGGCTGCAACATTCACTGTCTTCAGCAAAGAAACATATCTTCCTTTTGTAGTCTCTTTCCTAACACCTTTAGTAAAGAGAATAAATTGGGGCCTAAACCAGTTCCTTGTGGAACCTCTTAACATATTAGAGATATTGTTATCTGTAGTACCAAATTGTTCCATTCTATCACATGAAGTTCTGAACAAGTTTAGAACCATTTTTACAAATTACATGTAGGTATTTGTTTGATAAGAATATAACCTTTATTTAAAAACACAGTTAAAGCTGAACAGTGATTTTTTTAAATTGTCTGATGGGTTCATGATTGTTAGAATTTAAAACAGATTTCATACGAAAGAAGTTGCATGAGTTGCCTTCAAGTATCTTTAAATATTAATTTATATTAGGAGAATAGTAATGATTTGTGTCAAATCACAGCTAGTCAAATAGCACAGAATTTGATCATTAAAATAAAAGCAGGTGATTCCTATATTTTGAGCTGGAAGTTACAAACCTTTTCACCCTGAACAGACATTTTTAGTCATTTTCTGCACCATTACTAATCAATAATTAGTTAATTGCTGTTTTCTTGCAAACCCCAGTTTCCCATCGTCTGTGGTGGGAGCATGCGAACACCAGGTCAGAGCCACATCCTCTGACTTCCTCCTCCGCATCCTGCTAAGAGTTTTGGAGCATGGTGGCTGGAGGTTTTGGCCCCAGCTGTTCTCTCTCTCTTTTTTTTTTCCGAACCATGGGGGGTTTCCCAGAACCTGATACTCTGGGAACCACAGCAGTGGCAGGGCATCCTAGCTCAGAATCAGTGCCCACATCCTTGCAGAGGCCATAACCAGAGGTCCTCCACCCATTGATTTGAAGCCCACGCTCAGTGACCAATGGATGAGTGGACTCCAGAGTGATGGTCAGTATGTGTTGGGGTGGTTTAGCTTGCATTCTTCCTGCTTGTATGTGGCTGTCAAACCAATTCATAGAAGTCACGTACTGCGGTTGCACAATGATTTACTTTCCGGACTCTAATGCTGTTATCGTGATTTTGTTTTCCAGAGGTCAAAAATGGCCTCTGATGTCAGCGGGCGAGTATTTGAGGCCGTCAGAGTCACCCTGTTTTTCTGAACCTAAAATCCAACAATACACTGCTTCTGCTAACGTGGCCACTGGAATTCACATCCCGAGCGTGAGTCCATGCACGGAGACAGGCAGTGATTATAACCTTCCCGTCATGCATTTTAGCTGGAACTTAGTCTCTTTGTAAACAGCAGTAGAGCCTTTTAGGGTGGGAGGACTTAAATTGGGCTTTTTTTTAAACCTCTTTAGTATGCCATGGTTGGAAGGGATGATTTGTTTAGTTTTAGATTTGGTTTAAACTCAAAGCTTCTGTACAGAAATGTTCAAACTTAGGTAAGGTTAGTTCTGAACCAAAATAGAAGCCCCATCCACCAGAATATTTGATTAACAATGTAATACAAACTCACCTGCAAATTACAAGACAGTAGATCCATGGCTGTATGAAACATTAGTAATGGAAGGAACAGAATAATCATTTACAGATGAGAGCGTAAGCAAAGCTCGTGTTTCTCTTAGATGATCTTTTCAGATTAATGCAGTTAAGGATTTGTAACCCAACCGACTTTCTTTGCTTTTGTCAAGTTTCAACCACAA